TGGTTTTGTCGAGCCACTGCCTTTAAATGTAAAGTTCCGTAGTGAATGCAACCATCTAACGCAATGGAGGTAAAGCGAACCTTAGGGGATCTGACCTTGGGTCGCATCGGCCAAGTAGTATGATTCAGTGACAAAAAGAAAGAATAATGACGATGATGACATGGAGGAGGAAGAAAACTCAAGTCAGTATTTTTGTAAATCGACTGCATTAGTGTGTATATACAGGGTGCGCCACAATTATGTGCGCGTATCCAACGCCAAACTCGTACTAGATAACCTTGAAAAACGACAAAATGCTACTCTGATTCAGTAATGCCCAGGGTCAAGCAAGGGGTGTGGCACACGATCGCTGGTTACGACACCCCCCCCTTGATTGCTGACCCCCCCCCCTGGACTATACCCTCAAGATAGCATTACTTGGAGGCCCTGTCAAACATAATGGGCAACATATCCATAATGAGCATGTCAATTAACCCCTGTAGACAAAGTTTGAGCGAATTCTGAAGATTCAAGATACTAGGCTACCTAAGTGAAATGGTCAAATTCCAACATGGTTAACTTTGTTTTAAAGGTGAATTAGCTATCCGTTTTCGCACTCAAGACAAAGCACTACTCCTTCTTTATCCACCTCAGGAATCCCGCTTCAAAAGACCTCCAAACTGTGGAATTAGAAGCCAACCAAAATCTCTGATTCGTTTTCTTAGCTCTGAGTAATATTCGGTGAAAGCACAGCGATCAAAAGCGAAAAATGGGAAAAACGAGATTTTGGTTGGCTTCTAATTCAATAGTTTGGAGGTCTTCTGAAGCGGGATTCCTGAGGTGGACAAAGAAGGAGTAGTGCTTTGTATTGAGTGCAAGAAGAGGTAGCTTACTCACCGCTAAGATGAAGTTAATCATGTTTTAAATTACTGCTTTATACAAGGTTATTTACTGCTCGGAGACCTCAGAGTTCGCTGAAACTTGGCGCATAGGGGTTATTCGACATGCGGATTACGACAATTATGCTTGATTAGAGGTACGGTAGGTTACGGTAGGCATATGGTATCTGCAAGTTCGTGTCGTTGAACTTGAATTTTGCAGGATTTCAACAGCGCTTTCATCAAGTCAATTTAGTCACACAGCTTGTACAAGTGCTTTTGACCTTGGGTCGATACGACCCCCCCCCCTACCTACCCCCCCCCCCTAACGACCCCCCCCCCCGCCCCCTGCGGCGTGCCGCACCCCCCGCTTTACCCTGGTAATGCCTTATCATTGAGAGGCTCTAGTATGATTTGAGATCTCCAGTAATGGCTCCGAAAAAGTCGCAAAATATCTTGCTAACAGAGTTGCTCGCAAGAAGCATGTTTCTAAACGTATCGCCTCTCCATGAGAATTGCTTTTGTCATGCAACGTGCACATGATAGAGCAAGTTTTTGACTATAAGTACTATAAGCGCAAGATCTAGGAATGTTTACCAAAAAACTACCAACGTTCTGACTAAGGGGTGTATGCCTTATGCTGAAAAACTGCGCAAATTAGGGGTGCAAATGAGCAAAAAAAAACAACAAAAAACTGAATTTTTGCGCTCTCTCCATAGTCTCTCTCATACAGTGCTGGCCATAGCTATAAAGCCACCCTAAAAATCACTGTAATTTGCTTTCTCTTGCTCATAATTGACTGAAAAGCCACTATTTTGTGCGCAAACTAACGTCACACCAGTGACCAGAACGGCTCCCAATTTTATTGATTTTGGCCGGAGAAAAATTAAAAAATTTGAAAAAACGGGTTCCAAAGGCTGGTCTCAGCTATAAAACCACCCTCTCATTTTCAATCAGTACTACGTTTTGTGAACCTCAAATTTTTTGTACATATACAACATCAAAATATGAAACATTTGTTATACTTGGAAGAAGTCGCCTTTCAAAAAAAAGATTCGTACTGCATTTTCTGCTCTAAAATGCATAATAAGTCACATTATTTGCAAAAAAAACTGCTTTTTCATTGAATTTTGAAGCACTTGTTTGACTCTAATGAAGGTCCTAGGATTTGTTTGGCCTTTGCAATGAACGATGTGAAAAGTGTTGAACTGAAAATTGCGTAGTCGCTAATCTTGATAAACGAGCCCTCATCTTACCGAGGTGTAAGCACGCTTCTGAGGCGCAAAACTCGACTTCTGACGCGCGAAAACTTTTGGTTGGAAGTTGACACCTTGTCTGCATGGCGACGTACTCATGCAGAAGCTGTCATTTTTTTTCGCAAAGACGAATTTGCCGCACTAAAGTCAGAACGCTTTGTCTGCAGTTTGGTTGTGCGCAGTGTATCTCACAAGACTTCAGATTTCACTGCTTTGAACTCCTCATCAAGTCAAATCTAACTAAACTGTCAGGAATAGTAGGATTTTGAAGTTTTGAGCGGTTTTCCGCTCGATCGAGGTGGTTAGAGCGAGTCATGATCAGACGGAGTGCACAACCGAACTGCAGACATATTAGGAAAAAAGGCGGCCAAAGCGGAACCAGAATCCTCTGAGTTGCGATGACGTACAAGCTATGCGCACTAGTCTATCGTTGTACAAGCGACGTGCTGAGCACGCGACAGAGCTTTTCGGGCATTAGAACTCAATTTCTGCGGTTTAAAAACTCGTCTACCTGGAGGTGAGGTTGGGGTTCGTAATTAATATGAGGGACTAAGCAATGTTGACTCAAGCGCTTTTCGCTGTATTCATTGCAAAGGCACGGCAAAGCCTAGAACCTTCATCCGAGTCAAACAAGTGCTTCAAAATTCAGTGAAAAAGCAGTTTTTTGCAAATGATGTGACTTATTATGCATTTTAGAGCAAAAAATGCAGTACGAATCTTCTTTTTGAAAGGCTACTCCTTCCAAGTGTAACAAATGTTTCATATTTTGATGTTGTATATGTACAAAAAATTTGAGGTTCACAAAACGCAGTAATGATTGAAAATGAGAGGTGGCTTTATAGCTGTGACCAACCTTTGGAACCCGTTTTTCAAATTTTTCAGTTTTTCTCCCTCCAAAATCCATGAAATTGGAAGCCGTTTTGGTCATTGGTATGACGTTAGTTTGCGCACAAAATAGTGGCTTTTCAGTCAATTATGAGCAAGAGAGAGCAAATTACGGTGATTTTTAGGGTGGCTTTATAGCTATGGCCAGCACTGTAGTATAGTATCAGGGCTCAGCACAGCTGGCACCGTCAAGCTGGATATCGTTTTTTGGGGCGGAAAGCAAAAGGGATATCGTTTCTACAGGGAACGAGGCGGAGAACTGCCGCAAAAATGCCGCCGGCATGCCGCCGGCATGCCATTGGCAATCTGTCCACCAACAAACAAAGGCGTTGTTTTCAGCCAAAACGCAATAGTATGACACCAAATTTGGTGTGTGCATGCGCGTTGGTGGACCGGAACTACGGGCCAAAAATTTATGAAAACTTATGTGAATGAAAGCTGTGCCGAACTTTTTTCTGAATTAGCTGGCACCGTGGCAGCTGGGTGCCAGCTGAGCTGGCACCAACACTTTGCTCACATAAGTTTTCATACTTTTTTACATAAGATGTATCTTCATTGTAAAAGATTACATCCGGAAAAGAAACAGTTTCATAATGTTTTCTTTTCAGCGTTTTATAGCAATTTGAAAACCTTTCGGTCCTCTCCGCAGTCGAAAAATCGGTTTTTTCTGCTTCTCAAGATGTGATTCGACCACTTAAAAAGCTCAGAAAGCTGTGAAAAGTTCTTTCATGAAATCATAAATGCATGAAAACATTACTACATTTTTTTTACATAATATAAAATTGATGACGGGTTTTCAAAACAGGTCAAAAGAGACTTCGTACGAGATTTTCAATATCAAACGGGACTTCGTTTTGAAATTTCCCTGGTGCTAGCTCGTGCCGAGCCCTGTTCAGTATAACTAGTGAACCACTAATCAAAAGCTGCTATTTGGAAGAGCGTTTGCTTCTTGACCACCGCCGCAGTTTCCCGCTATTTGCAGATTTTTGAATGGTGCTTACGTTTCTTTATACAGGGTGTCCCAAAAAAATGTATCGAACGTTTGATCGTTAATATCTTCCTTCTAAAGAAATCTTTTCCCTTGCTTCAGGTACCAATCTGTAGAGCTGGCTTCAACTTAGATTTGCATTATACAACGAACCACTCATCTCTCCTCATCACTGTAGGATTACGGTAGAAACTTCAGAGAGGGTTTTAAGCAATGAAAGGCCATATTTTGCCCCAGAAAGGAAACAAAACAGCCTGAAAACTTTTACACTAGGCTAATTAGAGTTGCTGATTATAACTGTAAAGTTCCCAAATTATTATGATGCTTCATTGAAGAATTATGCCAGGTAAGAGGTAGCGGCCATTTTTCAATGTTTCTGAAAAGTGCGGTTACACCTTTTAGAAAGCTTCGTAATCTTGTGAATAGTTGAGTATTGAACTCAGCGTCCATAAAAATCCCAATACACAAGTTTTCACATTTTTTTGAAAAATTTTGAAACGGTAGCTTTTTCCACATTGACACCATATGTTTCAAGTTTCTACCGTAATCCTACAGTAATGAAGAGAGATGGGTGATTCGTTCTATAATGCAAATCTAAGTTGAAGCCAGCTCTACAAATCGGTACCTGAAGCAAGGCAAAAGGCTTCTTGGGAAGAGAGATATTAACGATCAAACGTTCGATACATTTTTTTGGGACACCCTGTATATTAGATATAGTAGTATAATAGTGATTCGACAATTCCATGTTTCCCAAGCATGTATGGCAATCGTCAATCGTCTTGTGTTGTTTAAAATACATAGTTTAGAGGATATGGCAGCATTCTGATATATAATTTCCGTAACAAAGCTTCAAGTGGTTTTTTTGCGGGCTGCAAAGTTGACGTAAATGAGTTTGGTGAACCTTGTACGCTGCTTGGGTACCCCTATAGGAATTTGCCCTACTAACGAAAAAGTCTGTATCATATGAACGCAGCGTTTCAGCAAGTTCTGCTCGGTTGGCTATTGCATGAAGAATAAAGAGATCGATGTATTTTGCTATATGAGTATCCACAACACCATAAAATCAGCGCAACAAAAGTAGATAAAACTATGGTGACAATCGATATATTGATTTATCATATTTGTGTGAAGGCCACAGGGGTAGGGATTCGGCTTTCTCTGATTGACTCTCTTCGTAGTGGTCTTTCACTGGCTGACCGACAGATCGTTGATGCTGAGTTACCGCGTGACCGTTCTGAGCGACTTGTCTGTAAATTAGAGGTAATTTTGAATTTTTAAAAATACTGGAAGTATGATAGTGCTGAGGTGTGACAGAGTGAAGTAGAAAAAAGATGGTGTTGTGCAAGACGGTGCCAGCACTTCACTGTCACGAGGCAATTAGTAGAAGACGTTACGCCGCGGACATCTGTCATAAACCACGTGTCTCAACATATCAACCCCTGTACCAGTTGTCCTCGAGGCGTAGCCTATCATTTGTATAACGTCTTCTACCGACAACCGCTTTAAAATGTCAGCAAGCGAAAAATTACACAGATAGGAACGAACTTTTTAGAACCACGATTTACATTCAGAGGCAGGGATCCAGACCGTGATGGTGTAAAATGCCGCATACTCACACGAAGGTCTCGAAACTGACGAGTGAAGAGGAAGTATAGCTGAAAAAGTAAATTTCTTAAGAAGTAGGTTTTGAAACAACTGGAACCTACCATGGGGTTCGCCATCGAGTTAATGTTGAAAAGCAGATTCACACAATCTTTTGCTAGCACATATTTAGACGAGTTGTCATGATCGGTAAATCGATAAATTAGGCCTCCTACAAGCAATGAGACTTCTTTTCCGAAAGCTGATTTTTTATTCTGTGGACGAACCTGTATGACAGATGAAGAAGAGTATGACAATTGATATAAGTAGAGTGACTGATCGCCGTTCTTGGGCTAATCGACTTTTGTGATCAAATGCTACCCGTTGCGCAGATATATGGGAAAGTATTCGAAAATTCAGCACACATAATAGCAACAGTGGAACCAGGTAGACTAGTACGGGATAGAGAAAGTTGTCCCGCTGTAAAAAAGGATTACTCTCATTCTGCCAACTATAACGGAGTTACTATCTTTTCGTATTCATTCTCGATCTTCTTATTTTATGTAATACCGCAGAACATTTTTCTTCCAAAATGCTCAAGTCTAAGAAGAGTCCCCTTTGTCTTTCACTGCATTTTTTTAAAGAAAACATCTCCCTGTCTAATCACTGAATCATTCAGTATTGCGTGGGGAAGCTAATAAGAGCGAGATATTGAATTTTATTCTGAGAAGCATGAAACTAATTAAAAGTGGGGAAGACCACCAAGAGCGTAATCATTGCATGGCAAACATCACTAGCGGAGTAAAGATTAGACTCGAAATTTATAAAATATCAAAAAATTTAAAATCATGGACACAGAAAATTGTGTTCTAGATAAATTAGCTGCTTGAAAAGAAGTTTGGAAATTCCAAAAATATTTTGATAATTGCCTACCAATCTCCTATAGGTGATATTGCGATGCAGGTCCGATTCCTCATGTTTCAAAAATCGGGTGCCGTTTTTTACTTCTATCCACCATCGGAATTCCAACCACACCGTGCTGTTGAACACAAGCGCTGCCACAGCTATGCCGACCAGAGGACACAGTGGTTTCGACGGGGAATGCATGGAAGACAGTGGACGAAGAATAGCCTGGAAAAATAAGACAAATTAGAGGATGTTTGCTCAGTGCAGATTTTTTGAGTGAAATCGAAAAGTGCAAGGGAATTCGCTACCGAAAAATTTTTCTTCAAGACAAATTTGAGTTTTTAGAAAAACTTTAAAAATCATTTCTTATTTACAAGAATAACCAAGTCCCTTGCACATTTTTATAACCCATGAAAGTAGTTTCAAAAAATTCGCAACCCGTTTTCGGAAAGGGGGGGGGGGGGAGAGCGACTCCCGGCTATTACACGTTTTAATGATATTCGGAAGAGTAGTTTTGAAAATAAAAACTTTAGAGAACTCTAGCGAAAATGCCTTTTTCATATTTTCTATAGCATATCCTCATTTTGACTCGGGAAGAAATTGGACGTTAGTAGCAACAAATTTATCGGAACTTCAAGATTTGGCTGTTAGCAAAATGGAATGGAAAAATCTGATGGTACCAGGACATGCGGTTTGCAGCTAGAAGAATCCATTTAAGAAAAGTCTAAAGGGTTAAACGAACCCTATGTCGCTGTACAGAGATGTAACATATCGTCCATATACTTGCACAATTGAATGCCAGCAGCAATGGAGACAGCAAACCCGTAAAAATATAGGCGAGTTGTGCTGGAAATCAGCAATCATGTTTGGCATTTTAGATTTTTGTAAAAAATCGATAATCGATTACCTAGTACACTGTACTCTCCGGATCCCGTGTATTCGTGTAGCGCTGGAAGAGAAAGTACGAAGGCGCTTAGAGCCAGTTGAAGCAGATCACAAATCGAGAGAACGATCAGCGCTGGGACAAGCGGATGCGAACGATGAGAGGTGAATACTAGTAGGCAGCAGGTGTTGAGAATTATACCTAAATTGAGTATTGTCTATAATAGACAAATTCAACGGTTGCGTCCTTGCCGTGTTTGCAACAATTGCGCGTAAAAAGTCGCTAGGGCGCGCACATTCCCCGTTTTGCGTTTTAAGGCCATCTTTTACGCGCAAATTGGTCGGCAACGTCATAAAGCTATATTTAGCCTTAAATCTATGGCTAATCATAAGATGGATTCACAATTCAGGTAATTTCTTAAAGTTTCATTCATGAGGAATGTTTGAAAAAGCAAGGGAAAATTTGAGGTGTCGCCAAAATTCAAATATTTTTTCAGAGAATAAAAAGAGATTTTTACTCACCAACGATGCAAACAAATGGCGAAATCCACAAATCTATGATACAATCGGAACTCCTCCAAAAATCTTCCTCATCCCAACATTTCATGATCCTGCAACGATATGCATCCGATACAGTCACTCGTACAAAAAACGAATATCAAAAACGACGATGAATTGAATCTAATACGATACACGAGTTGAATAACAAAGAATAAATACAATTGGGAGTGCATTCTCTCTAAGGCCATGAGAGCAAAAAAGATGAATGAATAATCTCAAGCAGAAGTGATGATAAAAAGCGAAGAAGAGCTGCTAATTCGAAGTAAATCTTCCAAGCTTTAGTCATACGGGGAGCTTAGGCTCAATGCAGATCGTTTAAACCTTACTTGAGTTTGATATCAATAACAATGTTGCAGTTGAGGGATTTTTGCGGAATATACAGTAAAGATTGATATAAATAATTTAGTCTTTACTGTATTCCACAGAAAGCAGTAGTAATTTAAGCAGCAAACAGTAATTTAATGGATTTCCTGAGCAGTAATTTAATGGATTTCATTCGCAAAAAATCCAATTTTATATTCTAAATTCCTAACGGTCTTTGATTTGATGATGCATGAATAGTTAAGAACCTCATGTTAACAAACAGCACCTGGTCTTCATCAGGAACTGCAAAGATGTGCTGAAAAATTTGCATAGAAAAAATCTCAAGATCGAGGCAAGTATCTTTTCGCTAAAATACGATGTTTCAGTTGCCTTGTTATCGAGATAAAATGCAGTGAATAGTATAAAATTTCACAGCCGTCGAAGATAGATCTTGATGAAAAAATTTGTTAATATGGGGCAAATCAGCCTAAATGTTCATATGTAGCCATTAACCATCTTTCAAAAAGCTTACAACCTTCAAAATTCAAGTCTTGTCTTCAATTCGTCTCTTATCATACCATTACAACAGCGGCGGACCGAGGGCCTCCCCCCCCCCTTGAGAATGAGTCGCGAAATTTTTGAAGTTTACTGACATGGGTTATGAGAATATGCAAGTGACTTGTTAATTTTGTGAATGACTAAAATATTTGTTCAATTTTTTGAAAACCATTCCCTTTTTCTTAGATTTTAGGAAAGTTATGCGTCCACAAAAATCTTGAGCACTCCGAAAATTTTTCTCAAATGCTAATGCCACTCACCTTCATTTGAAATAATTTTTTCTCGCTCCCCCCCCCCCCTCCCCTCTCCCGGACAGAAATTCTGGGACAGCCACTGCATTTTAACTGTTAGCCTTTCAGATCTTGCCTCGTCTTCTCAGATACTGTGATTTCGTGATTGCTTTCCATCTCTATGGCGTGGGAAGCCTAGCTACTGAATTTTTCAGCTGTATGGATTTTTTCAAATTAAAATAAGCATGTGAAAGTACCCTGGATACGATGGAGTAGCCGGACGGTGTAATTATGTGATGTCAAGCCAGTTTTTCTGGAGCAAACAACTTTTAATTTTCTCAAGACGAAGAAACAAGGAAAAAGCATCCCTAATGAGGATTTAGAAAAACTGTGCTCTTGATTTGTAGTCTTGAGCTCGATTTCAATTGCCCTAATTTGTGACGGCATCTAATACGTCTGACTAGTGAATAAAGAAAGAACAAAGTTCCGTTTCTATAGAGGAACACTTATTTCAAGACAAGAAGGAGACAGTGACAGTTGAACAAAAATTTTGAATCAAAAAATTAATTAAAAAGATTAAAGGAAATTAAAAATGAGAAACCAAGTCTATTATACAGTTGCTATAGAAAGTGGCTGAGAGAGAAAGAAATGAACTTCAAAAATCTAAATTTGACCAAATGTCGACTGAGTTGCTCATTAGAAAAAATTCGAAAGTGCATAAAACAATGCCGATAGACGTAGGTACGGAATTTCTGAATTACAACAAAAGATAGGATATATTTTGATGAAGATAATAACCTTTTCAACCATTCATACTTACTCAAGCAAAAGTAGCCTACTCTCGTATTTGCTTTCACCTTGTCGTTGATCACTGACAAGGAAGTCTACCATTGAAACGTCAGTGGTACATCATACCCAATTTTTTAAGAAACAAAAATCTCCTCTTTTTCAGACTTTCAAGTTCCGAGCAAGTGCTGTTGGATACCTCCCGTGAAAAGCATTGTGGACTGGGTAGATTATAAAGAAATGAAATGTTACTTTTTCCTCTCACTAGGAAATTTTAGGCTTTCACTAACAACCCAGTAAGGGTGGAAGGCTCCACAATAGGAGAATACTGACTCCTTCATTGAATCACCAAACGAAGATAATTTTGGGACTATTCTATAAGGACAGCTTGCTGCTAAATTGGCTCACAAATACCACTTGATTCAACTGACTTGGCGACCGGAAGTCGAGGCTTCATGACCTAATTAAGACTAGATAATGGAAGAGAGCATGGGTACGAGAGAGACGCAGACGGCGTCGCGGGCGCGAGCGACCTAAATTAGGTCACAAAGCCCGGCCTTCCAGCAGCCAGCCACCTGAATCAAAGGTTACTTTGGTTGCTCTCTTAATCGTTCTCTGTGAGCGATGTAGAGTAAATCCTGATTTATAAAATTTCAAAAAATCAAAACAAAATTACATCTCTGTGTGAATTATGTATTTCACTGCAGCCGTAAAAGGAGATCCCTCACATTCTAGAAGTCATTTTTCAATTATCCTCAAAAACGTGGATGTGCGAAGACAATCTACATAACTTCGAAGTATATTAGAAAATAGTGAATTCGAAGTAAGTAACGGTGATTTAATTCAATATCAAAAATGGATACATTCATTTGGATGGGTGGTACAGCCGATGAAGTAGAATAGGAGTGATTTATTGGTAAGCCCCAATGCGCCCACATAAATATGGGCAGAAACATGTGATGCATTAACGAGGTATCGTAGGAGCACAGGCTTCTTCTTATGATTCTGAATTCATTTCTGAATGCGCAGCTGCGATTGTGTAGACGTCAGAATAAATAAAACGGTCTGCTACTTCCCAAAACTTTTGTGACAAATAATGTGAGAGTGAAGAAGCAGCGAAAGAATGACAGCAAATCTCGTATGCACCTAGCGATCGTGGTTGAAAATGTATCTATTATATTTGCTATATGTGCACGAAATTGTCTGAGAGTAAGGCTGCGAAGAAAGAATTCCAGAAAGACGGAACAAGATGGAACAAGCATCAATTCAAGTTGATATATTACGTCGTCCCAAAAGTAATTTCGCTTTTTTCAAACGGTTGCGACATTCAAAGAAACAAACATTTGTAAGAGATCCTGGTAGCGTTCGATGCAGAATTTCGTTCTCTTTCTAATGGTTATGAAACTGTTGCAAAACATTCAATGAGCTTTCAGAAAATAACCAAATTCTGTGACCTATGTTTATTGAGATGGTCAAGTTTCGCGATTTTTTAAAACTTTCATATCAATCCTCAGAAGGAGTTCAAGTATCGATTCTATAGAGTAACCTTATAGAATACAGTGCAACTTTTTTCTCTTTTCCATAGCTCATACATTTTTAATAGAATTTTAACTAATGCTACCGATTTCCATACTTGGACAGCTACATCCTCTTAGAACATCAAAGGAAGAGCAGCTTGGGTGTCATTCGATGCTGCTTTTTCTCCTCTTTCTAATGGGTGTTTTTTGTTTCCGATTCCTTCAGTTTTCGGGGATAGAATCATCACAATTCATTTTTTTAAGGAGCCCCAAGCTGCACCCGGAAAACTCGAAATTTGATATTTCGAATCCGTAAACTCTCATTTGCTTTATAAAATCAATATTAAGCCATATAACATTTTGAAAGCTTGAAATTCCGAGTAATTACTGATGTTTGATGCGACTGTGCCTGAGGTGGGACTGCCAAAATCCGATGGCTTTGTTAAAAAATCTTTCAAAAAATTACGGCGAGCTACGAGAAAAAGAAAAAAGTAGTACTATATTCTATGAGGTTTACTCTCGAATCGTTGCTTGAACTCCTTCTGAGGATTGATATGAAAATTTTGAAAAATCGTGAAACTTGACCATCTCAAAAAGCATGGGTCGCAGATTTTGGTTATTTTCTGAAAGCTTATTGATTGCATTGCAACAATTTTATAACCGTTAGAAAGAGAATGGAACTCCGCATCGAACGCTACCAAGTTCTCTTGGAAATGTTTGTTCCATCGAATGTGGCAACCGTTTGAAAAAAGCGAAATCACGTTTGGGACGACCTAATATAATATTAAGTTGAACCGAAAGTTCTTTCGCACCAAATTCAAAAATTCATAACTTCTAAATTTTCCAACCGATTGGATCGTTCTTATTTTTGTATGAAAGAGTAAATCATGCTTTTCATAAAGACATCTTAGATGCTTGCTAATATTCATCTGTTGCAAAATAGGAGATGTAGAAGAAAATTAGTCAAAATTCGAATTTTCTGTGTAGGGTCATAAAAAATTGGAAACTTGCAACAAAAATCGGAGCAGTCAGTATTGTAGCTCCTTTCACCAGCTCTTTCTAACAGTGCAAAGTTTGCGCCAATTGAGCTTCTCTATGAAAAGTTACGATTTCCCTGAAAATGCCAAAATAAATCGAATTCGCCCTTTTGTATTGCTTGCTCGAAAATCATAACTTTTTATAGAGACGCTCAATCAGCGCAAACTTTGCACAGTCAGAAAGAGCTGGTGAGAGAACCTACAATACCGACTGCTCCGAATTTTGTTGCAAGTTTCCGATTTTTTATGATCCTACACAGAATTCGAATTTTGACTAATATTCTTCTACAGCTCCTATCTTGCAATAGATGAACGTTAGCAAGCATCTAAGATGTCTTTAAAGGCACCCAAAATCTAAGTTACCGAATTTCCTAAATCTTTCTATACCGTGTATATACTGGGCCCAGAAGAAGACCAACTGCGTTGGTCCGGTCTCCCAATGTTGCTTCTGAGCGGAGAAAACCCCCCTCACTTTTCTTTCATTCCGCCCCTTTTCTTTCACTCCGCCTCCTCCGGACGAATCCACGACAGCGTAAGCTTCAGTTGCCGTTGCAGTTGCTGTTGCAATGCTTTTGCATCTGCAACTGCATTGCAACAGCGCACACCCAAACTGCAACAGC